TGAGAATTTAGAGGGTTAATATTTTGTGGGGTTGTTAACCAATGCCATAAAACAACATGTGTACTACTGTTTCATGAGAAACTATTTGTTCTGTAAGCCTTCACCTGAAGTACAATAAAATAAAATAAAGTGTTGATTAAAATTAATAAGTTGAATACAATTAATTTTTATGTTTAAAGCAATTTCAATCAAAATCTCAATGGGATTTTTTAAATTCAAAAATTAATCTGGAAGTATCTTGAAAAGGGATGCTGAGGAACTGTCACAGCCAAGAGAAGCCAAAGGAGACATGATGACTAAATGTAATGCGGAATCCTGGATGGGATCCTGGAACAGAATAAGGACACTAGGTAAAAACTAAGGAAATCTGAACAAAATATAGAATTGAGTTAATTAAAAAAATGAACCTGGAAGAATAAATGGATAGAACTTTCTAAGAACATTTCAAAGAAGAAAAGTTAGGGAGAAAGATTTATCCTACCAACTATTAAAACACATAAGGCTGCGATACTTAAAACAGTTTGTTATGGCGTATAATTTGACAGATAGCTCTATTAGATAAAAAATTGCCCTGAAGCAGATTTTAGCATACATAAAACCTTGTTGTTGTTAGGCACCGTCAAGTCTATTTTGACCCATGTACAACAGAACGAAACACTGCCCAGTCCTGCACCAGCCTCACAATCGTTGCTATGTTTGAGTCCACTGTTGCAGCCCACCGTGTCAATCCGTATCATTGAGGGTCTTCCTGTTTTTCGCTGACCCTCTACTTTACCAAGCATGATGTCTTCTCCAGGGACTGGCCCCTCCTGATAACATGTCCAAAGTATGTGAAACGAAGTCTTGCCATCTTCCTGTCTGTCTTAGTTATCTAGTGCTGCTATACCAGAAATACCACAAGTGATAGTTTTCACAAACAGAAATTTATTTTCTCACAGTCTAGGAGGCTAGAAGTCCGAATTTGGAGCACCAGCTCCAAGGGGAGGCTCTCTCTCTGTCTCAGGTCTGGGGGAAAGTCATTGTCATCAATCTTCCCAATCTAGGACTTTCTCAGCGCAGGGACCCCAGGTCCAAAGCATGTGCTCCACTCCCAGCTCTTCATTCTCAGTGGTAGGAGGTCCCTCTTCTCTCTGCTCAATTCTCTTTTGTATCTCAAAAGAGATGGACTCAAGATACAACCTAATCCTGTAGATTGAGTCCTGCCTCTACTCCTGCCTCATTAACATCATAGAGGTTAGCATTTACAACACACAGATAATCCCATCAGATAACAAAATGGTGGACAACCACACAATACTGGGAATCATGACCTAGCCAAGTCGACATACAGTTTGGGGGGACGCAATTCAATCTCTAACACCTTCTAAGGAGAATTCTGGCTGTACTTTTTCCAAAACAGATTTGTTCATGCTTCCGGCAGTCCCTGGTATAGTCAATATCCTTTGTCAACACCATAATTCAAAGGCATCAGTTCTTCTTCGGTCTTCCTTATTCATTGTCCAGCTTTCGCATGCATATGAGGTAACTGAAAATATGACTACGGTCAGGTGCACCCTAGTCCTCAAAGTGAGATTTTTGCTTTTCAGCACTTTCAAGAGTTTGCAGCAGATCTGCCCAACGCAATACATCGTTTGATTTCTTGACTGCTGCTTCCATGGCATTGACTGTGGATCAAGTAAAATGAAATCCTTGACAACTTCAATCTTTTCTCCATTTATCATGATGTTGCTTATTGGTCCAGTTGTAAGGATTTTCATTTTCTTTATGTTGAGGTGTAATCCATACGGAAGGCTGTAATCTTTGCTCTTCATCGGTAAGTGCTTCAAGTCCTCCTCACTTTCAACAAGCATTTTATAAGGTTTTATATAGTATATAATAAAGATGACAACACAAGTCAATCGAAAAAGGATAGTGTCTTAGTTATCTAGTGCTGCTGTAACAGAAATACCACAAGTGATGGCTTTTACAAACAGAAGTTTATTGTCTCATAGTCTAGGAGGCTAGAAAGTCCAAATTCAGAGTGCCAGCTCTAGGGGAAGGCTTCCTCTCTCTGTCAGTTCTGGAGGAAGGTCCTTGTCATCAATCTTCCCTTGGTCTAGAAGCTTCTCCACACAGGGAACCTCAGGTCCAAAGGACGTTCTCTGGTTCTGATACTGCTTTCTTGGTGGTATGAGGTCCCCCTGTCTTTCTGTTCGCTTCTCTTTCTATATCTCAAAAGAGACTATCTTAAGACACAACATAATCTTATAGACTGAGTCCTGCCTCATTAACATAACTGCCGCTAATTCCATCTCATTAACGTCACAGAGACAGAATTTACAACACATAGGAAAATCACATCATATGACAAAATGGTGGACAATCACACAATACTGGGAATCATGGCCTAGCCAAGTTGATAGATATTTTTGGGGTACACGATTCAATACATGACAGATACAAAGTGGAAAAACTGCCCAAGAGTGTTTGAAATAAAGTTATATTCTAACACCATATACCAAAACAAATTCAAACTGCATTAGAAAGCTAAATGTTAAAAAGTCAAGAAGAAAATATGTATAACTATTAAACTTATCTCTAGATATGGACCACATAAAATTTAAGGCTTTTATATGTTAAAAGAAAAAACATAATTAAAAAGCAAAGGATAGTCAACAACAACAAAATAAAATTAAAAAAAAAAAGCAAAGGACAAGCTGGGGGAAATATTTGCAATAAATACATAATACTTTCAATAAAAACACACTTAGTGAAAGAATCCAGTTACTGTACTTAACACTGGGATTAGACCAATGAACAGGGCAAGCATGACTTTTTCCTTTAAGGATTACAGACTACTGCATAAATAACCTTTATATGTGAAGAGCACTTATACTTAAGGAAAATATTAATATCTCAATAGGAACAAAGTAAAAGAACCTGAATACATAAATACAGAAAATAAAAATGCAACTGACGAATACCACTATCAAAAAATGTTCCATCTAAGTAGGAATCAAACAAATGCAAAAAAAAAACCAGTAAGATGCCAGTTATCCCTATCAAAGTTATCAGATAGTTAGCAAATAAATCCAAATTCTGGTTAAGGGTATGACAAGAAAACACATGCTCATACATTGCTAGTGGGGCTACAAATTGCTATAAACTTTCTGGACAGAAATCTACAAATGAGTATAAACGACCTTTAAAAAGTTCAGACATTATAATGTAGTATAATTCTACTTCTAGGGATCTAGCTTAGGAAAATAATATAAAATTGGGACAAAGTTTATGCACAAAGATACTCATTTTACATTATAGCAAAACAAGCAAAACCCTGTAAACAACCTAAACTACTAATTGTAGACTAGTCAAATAAACGATACATTCATTCACTTAGAATAATACATATTAGACATATCTATTTTAAAAAAATGCTTAATGTCATAAAAATTTCTTACAATACTCTGATAAGTAAAAAAAATCACAACCTGTAAAAATATGAAAAAAACAGAATATCTGAAATTGTAAAAATATGATGTTTGTAGATGTCTACATAGATTTAAATGTAGAAAGAAGTCTAAAAGCAAACACAATCAAATACTAGAAGTGGTTATCTCTGTGTGTTGAGTTTGAGTGATTTTTTTTCCTTCTTTTGTTCTATAAATGCTCTGTGTAATCATATGACACTATAATAAGTTATTAAAATTTAAAGATATGAAACAAAAAAATAATTACCTAAAGCATTTTATGGCACTTAAAAAGTACTTTTACATATATACTGTGTCCTGCATCTTAACAAAACGTGGTAGCGAAGTGGCAAGGGTATCACAGGCAGAGGGAGCAGTGTGAGCCACAGCAAAGCAGCACAAAACAGCATAGTTTATAATTGAAAAAACTGAGGCTCAGAAGGGTTAGGTAACTTGCTAAGGTCACTTAGAAAAAAGTTGAGGAGCCAGATTAGTGTATTCAGTAAATGTAAATACAGCAAATGGCTGACAACAACAACAATGGGCTAAACACTGGGAACAGAAAGATAAATAAGTTAATGTCTCTGTACTCAAGGAAGGTAGTGGTGGTTCAGTGGCAGAATTCTCCACTTCTATGCAGGAGACCCAGGTTCAATTCCCGGCAATGCACCTCATGTGCAGCCACCATCTTTCTACCAGTGAAGGCTGGTGTGTTGCTATGATGCTGAACAGGTTTCAGCAGCCTAAAATCAGTCAATTAATACCCTATGGACCACAACAGTCCAATCACCAACAGTTCATGGGGATGGTGCTGGACTAGACATGGGGTCACCATCGACTCGGAGGCAGCTAACAACTGTACTCAAGGAGCTTACAGTCTAGCAGAGGAGAGATAAGAAGTACCATACAATCTTATAGACTCTAAGACAGACAAGCTCAAATTTCAAAGGGGTACACGTAGGAAACAATGGTCAATTTTACATAATTGGGTCAGGAAACTTTAAGCTGCATCTTATGAGAAGGTAATCAACAGGTAAAAAAAAGCAGTAGGGAAGTGGCAAGGGTGTCACAGGCAGAGGGAGCAGTGTGAGCCACAGCAAAGCAGCACAAAACAGCATGACACTGAGAGAAACTAAAACTACAGCATGGAAAGAAGAGGGGAGCATATACTAGGGAGAGAGGGCAGCTGCGGAAGAGGCAGACAGGGCAAAGACGTGTAGGATCCCTTTGCCAACTGATGATGAGCTTATTTTTCATCCTCAGGCAACAGAGTCACAAGAGTTTTGAATTTAAAAATTTAGAAAGATTACATGAGAGCAGTGTGAAGGATGAACTGGATGTTTTAGGCGCAAAGAGCCCAGAGACAGTAAGGGATAATGAAAGTCTGAACTGCAGCAGTGGTGAGAATGAAAAGCAGGAAGATATCAAGAAAGTATGGAAACAAGATTTAATTATTGACTGCATATGACTGGAAAAAGAAAAGAAGCAATCTAAAATGACTTCTAGATTTCAAATTTGGATGTTTGGATAGAAGAGAGGTTTACTCGATGAAATAGGAAAAACAGGAGGAAGCACAGTTTGGAGAGAAAGATGATGAGTTTGAATTATGAAATATTAAGCTTGAGATATCTATGGAGATATCCAGGAGGTAACTTCTTAAATGCATTTGAATATATGGGTTTGGAGCTTAGAAAGATTATCTGGGCTGAAGATAACATTTTGGTAGTCATGACCATGTAGACAATCACATAAAAATAAACGAGATCAGCCAGAAGGTCATGTACAGCAAAGGAGAGAGGCCAAGGTGGGAATCCAGGAGCACACTGATATTTAAGGATGAGTGGAGAAGACTAAGAAGGAATGGTAAGAAAGAGTAAAATACAATCTCTTAAAAGCCAAGGAAGGAATGACTTACTGTTTTCTTTTAATTACCAGGGTACTTGTGTTACCATAAGCATTTTCAAAGGGAAAAAAAAATAAATGAACACCAAACACGAATACAAAATAACCTGAAGAATACTTCATTCCTTACTTCATCTCTGCTGATGAGTTCATTGGAAAAAGTAAGTCCAGGCATAAGACCTCTCTTCTTTAGCCAGAATATAGCAGCAAAAGATCCGGAGAAGAAAATCCCTTCTACAGCAGCAAAGGCTACCACCCTTTCCCCTGGCAGACAAAAAATAGTTTCACTTCCTGAAATATCACACATAAGGCAGACATTTTCAAGTTAAACATGTTTTTTGTTTTGTTTTACAATATCACAACTATTTTGCCAAGACACAAAATAAACAATTTAGCACTATGGCCAAGAGCCTTCAAAGGAGAAAATTTGCTTCCTTACCCTACTAGAGCAGAAAGAAAGGTATGTCTACTTCTAATTCTGTGTCAGACACCGGGCTGCTGTAGGCCTTCGTGTCTAGAAAAAGGATATGCAATAAAAGAGGTGATTTACCTGTGTGCCACATGTGTCTATGAGTACAGGTACATACATGTGAGTGCAGTATACTCACATGTATATGAGTGGATACTGGACTGGAAAGTAGAAGGTAGGAAGAGCTGTCTTTATCAACCGAAAGATACTAATGGTGCAGGTGGCACTTCTCCAGCTGGTTAAAGAGAAGTACAGGTGTGTGGCTAAACAAGATATTTCCATGCTATTGTCTTTAGTGCCACTCCCAAAAAGGAGAGCCACCAATGTGCTCTTCACTCTTTTCCCTTTCCCTTCTTACTCCATCCACCACTTATTCCACTGCCACTACACTATTTTAAAACATGTTCTTTCTTCTGATAACCTAGATCAGAACCCTAAAGGATTTGCCTTGAGGTTAAGCCATATGGAGAACCTATCTGGAACCCCTGATGTGGTTTTGTGGTGACTGCCACCCTCCTCTTCTCTATTTCTAGAATTTCTTTCTTTGGTAGTGTTATGAAATACATGCTTTGAGTGAGCTTCATTTTTCATCAGTACCTATCCATACTAATATATTCAGGGCATATTAAACACTTTGATATTTCTCTCCCTTTTCCTCTAAAATCACTGTTTCTCAAAGTGTGCTTTCCAAACCACCTATGATAGAATCAGGTGGGAATAAAATGCAGACCCCTCTGTCTCACCCAGCTCTCCTAAATCATTCTCTGGTTGAACATCAGGATTCTGAAGGTTTATCCCACAAGTTTTCCAGATGATTTTTATACACACTGAGAACCTACTTTTTTCATTCTCAAAATGAACCACTGGCAACGCAAACATATATGTTTCTTCCCAGATTTACTACATGCTTTCTGTTACCTTACATTACATCACTGGTTCTCAAGGTGTGGCCCAGGGATCCCTGGAAGTTCCTGAGACCCTCTCAGGAGTCTGGGAGGTCAAAACTGTTTTCCTAACCCTGCTAAGGCACTATTTGTCTTTTTTACTACCATTCTCTCATGAGTATACAGTGGAGTTTTCCAAAAGCCACCTGACATATCCTCAATAATCTGAAAAGCCTAGTAAAATACTCCTCCCTTTTCTAACTACATGTCTGAGTGAGGCTGAATTTTATTCATATACTTTGACCAAAACAATATACTTCAACAAACTGAATGCAGAAGTAGATATGAGACTTCAGCTGTCTTCTATTAAGTCAGACATTAAAGAGATTTGCCAAAATGTTAAAACCATGCCATTCTTCTCGCTATCATTTTTTTCAGGGAAAAGTGTTTTTCATAAAAAATGTTATTTATGTTAAAATGCAGTGGGTTAAATATTATTATTCTAAAATGTATTAACAATAAATATTTTAAATGTACCAGTTTTAATTTCTAATACAGAAATATCAATAGATAAAACCCATATACGTAAAAACTCTTTGGAATCCTGAATAATTTTTAGAGTGCAAAGGGGTACTGAGGCCAAAAATTTTGAGACCTGGTTCCCCACATAATGCATAAAATCAGGTAAAGACCACCAATTATGAAATAGGTAAGAACTGGACAGGTAAAGAACTATTCAAATGAAATGCCTGAATATTTTAATTAAATTTAATAAATACTTACTGAGAAACTACTACGCATAAGATACAATGTTAATCACTTCCTTAAAAAAATTATTGGATTCCAACTCATCCAGAAGGATGTTTACATTTAACTTATCTGTGAAAAATAAGCCTGTTACAGCCAACTATTTCTTACCCTGGTTGGACTACACTAATATTTTGTTTTTCAGGAATTAGATATTTGTTCCCTGAAAAATACTAAGACTTTGACTTGCTTAAAATCCTAAATAAACATTCCTGAAGTAGGTACAGACTGTGGATTGCTGTAATACTCTTGTCAGATTCTACGTGACTGACTCTTATTTACTCATAATTATGTACTAATTTTTTAATCTTTCAACTTTCAACTTACTAAAAATAGGTAATAGCTTTAGATTATTTTACCACAGGTTTCTAATTAATTATTAGGAGTAATGATTTTAAAAGGGGTATACTGAGACATCTGTATGCCTGTTCCATGCTATGACTTTGATTCGTACTAGATAGTCACGTCACATAAAATAGTGTCATATCATCTGAGGCAAATTTGTTTACATATAAATTAAAGCTACCTACCAAAAGTAGATTTTCTATCTGCTATCCATCTCAAAGCCCAATCTGCTTTTTTCTTAACATATGGCATTGTTTCAATTGCATTAAATAAAAATTCCCTGTAAAAATAAAAGAATGAATGGCAAAGTTATTCATCTGTTTTTCTTAATAAGATTAAACTTTCACAGTTTAATCAGAGATAATAATTGCAACCATATGGTATGCTACTAGATCTGTAGGTTTTCTGTATTTCTCCATGTCTATAAAATATAGAAATGAAAGTAAAACTCAAATTAATGGTTTGGATCTGGTCTAATAACAAACTAACCAAATTCAAATATTCAATTTCTAAACAGAATGTGCTAATGAACAGGTTTTTTTTTTTTAAAAAAGATATAATATCTAAAGATTAACTGGTTCTATACAAGTTTTTTTTTATTTTTTTGTAACTCAACATGTTATTAAGAAATAGAAAGCATACTCCTAAACACTCATATTTGAATAATTTTTTCTAAACATTTAGTTCTGGAGTAAATTCTGCTCTTAACATAATCAAGCTATAGGATAAATCCTTGTAAATAAAATCTCAGCATTAATACCTTTTCTTGGGATCTCTGATGTAAGTGTCTATTAGCAAACTGTACATCTCTGAGTGAACATTCTCGATGAGAATTTGAAAGCCGTAGAAACAGCGAGCCTCTGGAACCTGCACCTCCTGACTAAAGCGCTCCACCTAAGAAAATAAGGGAAAACAGATGTATCCAATTCTGTGGACTCTCATTAAACACTGCTATTTAGAATCTGGGCATCGGAATTAACACTTAAAAATTGCCAGTCATCCCACAACCGGGTCAAAAAGACCTTATGGGTACTTTAAGCAGTACTGTTTATCCATCAACCTTCAACAAAAAATTAGTTGCATAATGTATTCTTAAGCAGTTAAATGAACTGACCTGTTAGATGGCAATACTGCATACAAGCCAGATAAATTTTAGCACATCTAAAAAATAATTACTATGCTTTGTAGAATTGACCTTAAGTCCTGTTTTCTCTGACAGCAGACAGTAGATCCATCATCTATTGAAGCCTTTCTAGTTCGTGATGAAAGTTCTTATCTTTCTTTTCTATTCTCTTTAAAAAGAAAGCATGCCTCCTGATCAATCATAATTCAAGTTCAAAAATGGGCAGCCAGAACCGAGCACTCTATCATAGAGATCTGGAACGGTTACTAAGGTACAGGTTCTCTACTAGTTAAGGGTAAATATCAAGCTTACGTTTATCCATTATAAGTAGTTTTGATTGGTACAATTTATGCTTGATTTCATGATATATTTTGCTGGTCAACTGATAGAAATATATCTTTTCCTCTGACACATCATCAGAAAAACATTTTCAAGAGTTAACTTTCAATTGATTCATTTCTTAGACATCTTTTTTCAGGCTCAGTCTAATTATCTTACTGCCATTATCATCGTTTAACTGCTGAATGGGGACAAAAGTAAAATAAACAAAAATCTTACCAAGTTTTCATTTACAATTCCATCACTGGCTGCAAAAAAGGCTAAGACGTGGGAGATAAAATACTTCTCATCTGATGTAAGCTTGTTCCAATGAGGGAGATCCTTTGATAAGTCAACCTAAAATAAAAAGATTTTTCAAAAAATTTAACTTGGAGTTAAAGTCTTCAGAAAACTAACTTTTACCCCAAAGTTAAGGAGGGGTCAGCTCATTACTGGTAAAATGTGAAAAAGGAAAAATGTTTACATTACAAAGAAACAAAAAAAAACCAAAAACGTTATGAAGGAATCTGATTTTCTGGCTAATGGAGAAACAGACTAGCCAGGGTGTACTTTAAACATATTAACATTTAAACTTAATGATACATGAATAAAATCTACTTATGTTTTATATTTACCATATTGTTAGACAGATAATCCGGTTCCAGTTGCTGCTGAGTTGATTCTGACTCAGGGCGACTCCATCTGTGTCAGAGCAGACCTCTGTGTGCTCCAGAGGGTTTTCAATTGCTAATTTTCAGAAATAAATTGCCAGGCTTTTCTTCCAAGGTGCCTCTGGGTGGACTGGAATTTCCAACTTTTTGCTTAGTAGTTGAGTGTGTTAACTGTTTGCAACACCCAGGGACTCCCAGATAGATAACAGGCATCTGTTAATTAATTATAGCTGCTACTTTACTGTCAGCTAATCTACTTTCATACCCAGAAGTAATGTTAGGCAGGTGACTACCCAGGTTTTAAAGCAATTTATAGGCATAGTTTACTCGGAATAGAAATATTCTTTTAAATGTTTATTAGAAATAGTCCTTGAACTTGAGAGATGCACTCTAGAGTTTGACAAAATCTATAATTTAAAAATTGCCTTTAAATGGACCTTGTAGATATTATTTTCTCAGGAAAATCTCTTTGTTTCACAATATCCTTGTAAGTATTTTAAGTAAGCAATTGTCCTTTGTTCTTCTATTTATTCTAACAGAGCCCCATCCCTTTGACCTTTCTAAAAAGGACTAATGCTCCATCCTTTTAATCAATTGAGTGTTCTTTTCTAAATTCTTTTCCCTGTTAACCTATTTTTTAAATGTTTACTGAGTACCTACATATGCCAGACACTGTGCTAAGTGTTAGAGATAAAATGGGCCGGGGTGAGGTGGAGGGTGGGGGGAGGGGGAATATCTGTACACCTCTTTTACAATATGTAAGCTAAAAATCAGGTTCTATTAAAAAGACCTCAACTCAGGTTTAATTGAGGGACATCTTGCTGGTTCTCATGTATTATACTCCTGACACTAAAAGTTAGTATTATACTTGTTCTTAAATATTATGCTTTTAACTTATCCCTTTGACCACTCAGCTTCAAAAGGTCTTATAAATTTTATTTATACTACATTGACCACTTTTCATTTTGCATTTAGAGAATCTGCTCAGGACTCCATTCTTCTCATTATAAAGTATTTCTTTAATTTCTGAATGTCACTTAGAATTATTTCTATCACCTGAAAAATAAACTTCCCTGCCCAGCTTTATCTCATTTGAGCAAATTCTCAATTTCACCATTGAAATATGCTGATTACAACCTAGCTGATTATCAGAATTGTCTAGGTGGCTTTAAAAAATAATTCCCAGACATTTGGCCTTCTGAATCAGGGTTTCTGATGATGAGTCATATTTGGGAACTAACCTAAACCACTGATAAAATAAGAGTCTAAAGCTGATTAAATTGTAACATACATAATTTGTTTAACTGAAAAATATCTGGACTGAAAAGTTTGACTTTCCTTCAAAATGTGTATTTGAATATTCCTATAAGCTGCCTACAAAATACGTACCAACCTGTATGTTTTAATTTTTTAAAATAGCATTTCTTAGTTACAGTACAATACACTTGCCAAAAGATGCAAATAATTTCCATGTGAAGTCAAAGAAACCAAAATATCAGAAACAGGTTTTTAACTGATGATCGAAAAGGCCACCTGTGTACTCCATTTGTTCTCTTAACCATATCTAACAAAGAACTTTCTAAAAACCACAGACAGTTAAAGGACAATCAGGTGTGCCGAACATTATGGCCAAGTCTGAAAATACCGGGGTTTGCTGTTGTTGTTCTACACAACTATAATACAACAAACATGTTGACAATATAACAACAGAATATAATAAAGATAGGTAAGTGGATAAAACTTAGAGTATAACAGAATGTTCAAAAAATTGGTGCCATCTATGATTTCTAGTTTAAATCTCCCCCATTGTATGTGTAAAATAATAGCTTACATTTAGTGCTTACTGAGTATGGGGTACCATTCTAAGTATCTCATTAGTCTTCATAACTACCCAATGATCCAAGTACCATTAGCCCGATTTCCCAACGAGGAAGCACACAGAGGTTAAGCAGCTTCCCCAAGTTCACAGCTAGTAAACAGCAGAACCAGGATTTATACCTAGGCAGCCTGGCTCTAGAGCCTGCATTCTTAACAGTATGGGTTTACATGTAAAAGAATCAATCTCTCTAGCAACAGACAGACACACATACACAAATATATATATATATATATATATATCCCTGGGTGGCACAAATGGTAAGCCAAAAGGCTGGTAGTTCAAACCCACCCAGAATCGCCTTGGAAGACACGCCTGGCAATCTGCTTCCGAAAGGTCACAGCCTTGAAAACCCTATAGAGCAGTTCTACTCTGCACACATGGGGTCACCATGAGTTGGAATGGACTCAACAGCAACTAACACTTGTCTAATTATCCAAGTATATACACGTCTCTGTGTATATACATATGCATACACTCACACATAGAGCAAGTGATACCTATGCAGCTATCATCCATCATCTTCAAAGATGAAGACTGATTATGTGTTCAGTGAGAACATAGTGCAATCACTTGCATGACCAACTGACTTAACCAAACCAGCAAGTATTCTCTAATTTGTTGTATTCAACTCATTTCCTGCTGGAAAATGCTGCACTAACAGAAAGCATTCTACAGCTGTCCTTTTATTAGGGTCAGCTGTGCCAGGTTTAATGTGGCTGAGGGTAGGGCCAGATTGGGAGAAGCACTGTAAATTCAGCCTGGCAGGCTCAGGAGTGAGCAGGCTTGCTGACTGCCTGAGTGATCAAACTCTCCATGTGACAGCTCCTTCTGTACAATCAGATAAGTCTCTCCCAGATAAGAAAGTAGGGTTACCAAGGCTTTCACTCTGTTTTTGGCTATAGCTAAGCTGCAATGTTATTTATCCTGATGGCCATCAGTAAAGATTAGCCTTTATGTGGCCACAGCAAACCAAAAATATTATTTAAAAATAGAAAATGTTTTAAGCTATATTAGAAATGAAAAGCTGACAGAATAAGATGCCATTTTCGCAGCAGGAAATTTGTTTATAGACAGTAATCTAAACACAAAACATTGGAGAACAGTGTATTTTGTCTCAGTAATTCCAAATATTATACAACTTAGCTTATTCTATGTATCTTATATAATTTGGACTTCATATAATTTAAGTTAAAATTGTTCAGTGTTCTGTAACAGAAGATATGAACACAGGACTATAGAATGCTGATAAAGCTGATGCTTCTTACCTCTTCTGCTGTCCAGAAGGATGCCTGTGCCTTTTTATACATTTTCCAAATATCAGGGTACTGGATGGGAAAGATGACAAACCGGCGAGAACTCTTTTTTAGAAGTGGCTCTTCACTTGACTTCACTTCATTTTCGTTGGTATCTGAAGATAACCTCTTTGAAGAATAAAGCACACACAATCTTTTTATGCAGTGTTTCCTCTTTTATTTACATCTAAACACACATCTTGGGGAGTCAGGGAGAAAGCACAGGTTTGGGAGCCAGCTGGCCTGGGTTGAATCCTTATTATAATAATATATGGCTAATTGTGTTTAATTAGTTGTGTGACTTTAGGAAGTTGTTTAACTTCTCTAAGCCCCATTTTTCTCATCGATAAAATACCTATCTCACAGCTTTATTTTGATAACTAAAAAGTGCTTTAAACAGAGCCTGGCACATAATAATCTAAAGACTGTCATTGCTACATTGAGGATAAGCACAAAACTAGATGCACAAATGTCATGAAGAGTAAATTTCCAAGTCTGTCGACAAAATGCCTTTCAATCCCTCTCTCAGAGACAGAATACTGACACTGATAGACTACTAACACAAACTACTTTTTAACTTTAATGTTTTGTTTCCTCACATTAACTGAAATGCTACCATACTTACCTAAAAACATTCCTTACCAACAACTTGCCAGCCTTTACTCTTTCTTAATTTTCTTATATACCAATTTATTTTATTTCCATTTCACCATTACTATGTATAGCCTCACTGCGCACTGTCTCAAAGCTTTGTGGAATAAAGTGAGAAATACTATCTATAATGCATAATCCCATTGCTGTCAAGTTGATTCTGACTCATAGCAAACGTACAGGACAGAGTAGAACTGCCCCATAGGGTTCCCAAAGCTGTAATCTCTTCACGGAAGCACACTACCACATCTTTCTCCCATAGAATGGCTGGTGGGTTCAAATCACCCACCTTTCTGTTGGCGGCCGGGCACTTAACCACTGTGCCACCAGGGCTCCTTATCTATATACATACTGCTTGGAGATATGCTGACACTCCAACAGGGAACAGTGCCACCTTTTTTTTTTTTTTTTTATAGTCGGCAACATCAGAAGAGTTGTGCACGCACAAAAATGAGTACATGAAGACAGGTTAAAATGCATAAATCAAGATTATTAAGATACATTTAAATTCTGGACTCCTAATCAGAACTGTCTCTCCCTCCTGTGCCAGGACCAATCATGTTTCTTCATCCTTACCACTGCCTCCACCCATCATCACACCTCTCCAAAGCGTGTGCATCGTAACAGCCAGGGACAGGGCAGAAATGGCTAAGGCAAGGCAAGCTTGAGAGAAAGGCCCAAAATGAACGCATGAGGCTATACAAGGTGGGGCTTGAGTACATCTCACACATACTGTCATAATAATACGGATTGTCTTGTTTTGTAACTACTTGTTTAAAGGTGTGGACCTCCTAGATAAAGCACCTGAGCCCCAAAGAACAGGGGCCAGTTTTTATTTATTGCGGCGCTCCCAGAGTATCAAGGATAATGTTAATAAATGATAGCTAACTAAGCGGATGTGCTGCTAGTATCTCTTCATCCTGTGCTCAGATTACTTGATGATTTTGTAATTTAATATACAACCAGATTACAATAGTAGGATAACTCTAATAAACACTGAAATTAAGTCTTCTCTGAGCACCCCCACACCTCACCTCCATCCCAAAGGCCTGGATTAGATATGTCACTTAAATACCATTTTTGTGCTTACTCCTAACATAACACGTATCTCATTGTACGTAAACCTGTTATCTGTAGTTCCTGCTAGACTATGCTTCTTGAGAGCTGAAACCGTCTTCATCCTGGTGGAATCCCAAGACCCTAGCACAGTCTCTGATACTTAACAGATATTTATTCCACAGACATTTGAGCAAATTTTAAAAATGACATTTTCCAATTTTTAGTTAGTCAATTATTTTTTTTCTGCCATGAACGGCTTCCAATCTCAGAGGAGTCAGTCATAAGGTACTGAGAAATAAAATTCCAGGCTCTAGAACAGGATGTATATACAAAAGCAAGTCCTTCCTGTCTGGCAATGAGGTTGATTTTGAGCCCAGTTCCCAGACAGATGCTTTACATACATTATTCCATTGAATCCAAACAACTGTGCCAAATAGGTAATATTATTCTCATTTCACTGATGGGGAAACTATGTCTTGGAAGGGGTAAATAACATACACAGAATCACTCAACTAATAAGTAGCAGAAATACGATTAGAATTGTAATTATGTCTGAACTCACATCTTGCCTTAAACTACATCTCTGTGTGTGGGTAACGAGCTGGAACAGGGCCAGTCTACAGCTACAATTCAGAACTCAAGGCAGTGAGATGAACTTAAGACCAAAGAGAGTATATACTACTATCTCTTGGTAAGCAAAGATAATTTAACAGATGGCAGTGATGTAACCAATGAAATGAGTGTGGGGAAAAATCACCAAATTTGATTCCTAGGAAAAGTAAAAAGAAAAAAATATCATTCACTTGTAAATAAAGTTGGAAGAACCAAGGTGACTTGAGGCTGGTGAAAACCAGCCAAAGTGAAAAGGCTTAAGGCAGTGATTTTTACTGGTACAAGTTTCAAAATCTGCAAAAAACAAACAAAAAGTACATGAGCCCTCCCCTTTTTTCCCCAGGTTAAAATTACTGTATGTAATGAGATCATGAAACATGTCATTGACAGAAATGTTTCATATGTGAATGATGGGACAATAAAAATAAGGTTCAGAATCAGTGTTTTGGAAATTGGCATCTTTACAGCAGAGTCTGGTGTGAAGCAAATGACCATGTATTATTCCAGGTTGTTATCATACGAAATTGTTTTCACTTATAGTAAGAGCATAGCAGGTGCCGATTAACCAGTAAGCAAGATATGCACGGGCTTAATTGTGTTTACTTACTAATCTGTAGTGCACAATTTCACATGAGTTTCACCACCTCTCTGATTTACAAAATCAAAATAAAATCAAAACCCAAACCTGGAATCTACAACTAACCTTTTCTAAAGAAATGCAGGGCTAAACGGGGGTCTCTATGAGCTACAACTCTTATTTTCCCTCCAAATATTCACAACATTAAACCATAAACAGCAACAGGTCCAAGAGAAGTACAAACTTAGTTCCTCGGTACATAAATGGTTTAGAGGTATTAGCAAAATAACAGGGTATGAAAATTATAGAGCAACCATTTAAAACTACCCACTATTCAACTCTACAGTCTAATAAATCTCGATTTATTTACTATTATTAGGTACTTCTACCACCATGGAAACCGTGGTGGCGTAGGGGTTAAGAGTTTGGCTGCTAACCAAAAGGTCGGACAGCTCGAATCCACCAGGCGCTCTTTGGAAACCCTATGGGCAGTTCTACCCTGTCCTATAGGGTCGCTAAGAGTTAGAATGGACTGGACGGCAAGGGGTTTGTTTTTTTCTACTATCATAGAAGCAGAAGGTATGAGCATGTTAACTTAGGTTTATTAGGCACCTACAACTTTCGTGGCACTTGGTATACAACATTTAATTTAATCTTGTGAGGTAGGTATCACTTCCACTGTATATATGATGAAAGCGAGACCCCAAAGATTAACAGCTAGTTAAGTAGCCTAATTTTTTTCATTGTTATGAGGCTTTCCCGTCTCCCTTCAGTCTTCTCCGTCCCATCCATCTCTCAATTTCCACAAGCGACCTCCAGTCATTCTCTTTTCTTGCCTCAGTTTCCCTGGCTAGGGATCCAGCAAGACTGGAGGAGAGTATGGGGCGGGTAAACGAGGGGGTGCACTTCACCCGGGTCTGAAGCCTCAGAGTGTTGCCCTTGGCGGGCCCCGGAGCAGGGCAGCGGAGCGGAAACCCTGCTCCCTCCTCAACTCTCCCCAGAGACGGCCTCGCGGGCGCTTCCGACCATAAAACCAGGCTGCGGCGAGGGCGCGCGGCAGGGCCTGCACCGGCTTCCTGACGGCAATGGGGATAAATTTCCACAGCGCTTGTGGAACTCGCAAGTCCCCGCCGCAACTTGCAAACTAAAGGCTAGGCGTGATTGTGTGGCGAGGGAGGAAGCGACAGAGTCATTTACCTCATCCTGCTTGGGCCTGGCCGCTTCCGGCCTTTCGGAATCGACCATCGCGCAGACTCCGCCGGAGCTGCAGCCGCTAAGGGAACTCAGCGCGCAGGCCGCCTCCCACTACGACAGTACTGAGCCGGCCTGCCTGTAGGTCAGCGAGGTCCGCCCCGCCCCCAGCTTCAGGGACCCGTCCCACCCCGGCTGGCCCCGCCCCACTTACGGTACCGGCCCCGCTTCCCGTCTTCCCATGGCAGAACTTGCCCTGCGGTGGCATCCCCAGCCCAAGTACCGACGCGCGGGCCTCCTTTCTGGGACCCACCTACTCCGGCCGGCCCCGCCCCGCTCCATTGCGCCGGCCCCGCCCCGCTCCATTGCGCCGGCCCCGCCCCGCTCCATTGCGCCGGCCCCGCCCCGCTCCATTG